TCCCCTTCCTTCCTCCTTCTCCTCTCCCCTTCCTTCCTCCTATCTCCTCTCCCCTTCCTTCCTCCTTCTCCTCTCCCCTTCCTTCCTCCTTCTCCTCTCCCCTTCCTTCCTCCTTCTCCTCTCCCCTTCCTTCCTCCTATCTCCTCTCCCCTTCCTTCCTCCTTCTCCTCTCCCCTTCCTTCCTCCTATCTCCTCTCCCCTTCCTTCCTCCTTCTCCTCTCCCCTTCCTTCCTCCTTCTCCTCTCCCCTTCCTTCCTCCTTCTCCTCTCCCCTTCCTTCCTCCTTCTCCTCTCCCCTTCCTTCCTCCTCCTCTCCCCTTCCTTCCTCCTTCTCCTCTCCCCCTCCTTCCTCCTTCTCCTCTCCCCTTCCTTCCTCCTTCTCCTCTCCCCTTCCTTCCTCCTATCTCCTCTCCCCTTCCTTCCTCCTTCTCCTCTCCCCTTCCTTCCTCCTATCTCCTCTCCCCTTCCTTCCTCCTTCTCCTCTCCCCTTCCTTCCTCCTATCTCCTCTCCCCTTCCTTCCTCCTTCTCCTCTCCCCTTCCTTCCTCCTTCTCCTCTCCCCTTCCTTCCTCCTTCTCCTCTCCCCTTCCTTCCTCCTTCTCCTCTCCCCTTCCTTCCTCCTATCTCCTCTCCCCTTCCTTCCTCCTTCTCCTCTCCCCTTCCTTCCTCCTTCTCCTCTCCCCTTCCTTCCTCCTTCTCCTCTCCCCTTCCTTCCTCCTTCTCCTCTCCCCTTCCTTCCTCCTTCTCCTCTCCCCTTCCTTCCTCCTTCTCCTCTCCCCTTCCTTCCTCCTTCTCCTCTCCCCTTCCTTCCTCCTTCTCCTCTCCCCTTCCTTCCTCCTTCTCTCCCCTTCTTTCCTCCTCCTCCTCTCCCCTTCCTTCCTCCTTCTCCTCTCCACTTCCTTCCTCCTTCTCCTCTCCACTTCCTTCCTCCTTCTCCTCTCCACTTCCTTCCTCCTCCTCCTCTCCCCTTCCTTCCTCCTCCTCCTCTCCCCTTCCTTCCTCCTTCTCCTCTCCCCTTCCTTCCTCCTCCTCTCCCCTTCCTTCCTCCTTCTCCTCTCCCCTTCCTTCCTCCTTCTCCTCTCCCCTTCCTTCCTCCTTCTCCTCTCCCCTTCCTTCCTCCTTCTCCTCTCCCCTTCCTTCCTCCTTCTCCTCTCCCCTTCCTTCCTCCTTCTCCTCTCCCCTTCCTTCCTCCTTCTCCTCTCCCCTTCCTTCCTCCTTCTCCTCTCCCCTTCCTTCCTCCTTCTCTCCCCTTCCTTCCTCCTTCTCCTCTCCCCTTCCTTCCTCCTTCTCTCCCCTTCTTTCCTCCTCCTCCTCTCCCCTTCCTTCCTCCTTCTCCTCTCCACTTCCTTCCTCCTTCTCCTCTCCACTTCCTTCCTCCTTCTCCTCTCCACTTCCTTCCTCCTCCTCCTCTCCCCTTCCTTCCTCCTCCTCCTCTCCCCTTCCTTCCTCCTTCTCCTCTCCCCTTCCTTCCTCCTCCTCTCCCCTTCCTTCCTCCTTCTCCTCTCCCCTTCCTTCCTCCTATCTCCTCTCCCCTTCCTTCCTCCTTCTCCTCTCCCCTTCCTTCCTCCTTCTCCTCTCCCCTTCCTTCCTCCTTCTCCTCTCCCCTTCCTTCCTCCTTCTCCTCTCCCCTTCCTCATCTCTTAAACTACGATGACGTCTGAAGTGGCAAGTCATCGCGATGGGATCAGCCGTAACATGTGACTCAGTTAATTGAATAATGAAAAAGAGTTGCATCAGTTTCCTTGCTAACGAGTCGGAGCCAAAACATCTTGTAACGTGCCCCCGTGGTGAATAAAAGCTTACATGACACTGCCCCTTTTTTCAATCTAAAAACGACCTTCTTGATAAGTTCGTCCGCATAACAAGACCCGGTATGTAAGTCGTAATAACAGCAACAACAACAACAAAATTTATCTTCTCTTTAAAGTCGACTGTGAAAGCAACACTACCTCCCCCCCACCTCCCCCACCCCTCCCTCTCCTTCCTCACTCCCCCCTAAGAATATCCTCA